TATGGTAGCTTGAAAAGCCAACATACGGTTATCTCACGGAAACTTCTTTGACTTAACATTGGGTCAAACTTTGTGACCTCATTACTTTGCATCAGACTGTCCTACAGACTTCTAACTGGGCTCATTTAACTCAGTCTAGCCAGCAGCCAATTACCGATGACCTTTAGACTTACTAGCCACTCCCTAGCAACCACTTACAACACTCTAGCAACTGTTTTATAAACTATGACTAGCTGTTATTACACATGCTAGTAGTTTTAACATGCTACTGACATGCTAATCTTGCTAGAAACATGCTAATGACATGCTAGTCATGCTAGTGCATGCTAATTCATGCTAACAACATGCTATAATCATGCTAATTTTAATTTTAATGTTCTTAGCCTGTTTAAAATATCCAGTTTTTAGAAAGTTTTATGTATCAATGTTACATTAATGTCCCCAGAATGTTATTTAGAACATTATTAGAGTGTTTCATCTAAATAATATTAATATTTTAAGAATGTTTCCCTAACGTCCTCAGGAAATGATAACAATGTTATTGTGGAAAGCTCTTAGAATGTTAAATATGTCCATCTTTTTAGATGATTAATAAAGGGACGAAGCCGAAACGAAAATTAAAGAATAAATATAAACACTAGTTTTTGGTTATAATAATGGTATTGAAAACATTTTCATGTTTCAGTCTCATGTTATATTAATGTTCTCAGAAGGTTATCCTTATTGACTATCCTTCAACTTAGTCCCAGATTAATCAGGGTTCATCACAGCGGAATGAACTGCCAATTATTCTTGCATATGTTTCAAATAGTGGATGCTCTTCCTCTCATGTTATTTAAAAAATATTAGAATATTACCAATACATTATTGTAATGTTCTGTAAGTTATAAAAGCTATTGTTGACGTTTCTTTAAATGTTAAAAGCATCCAGTTTTTTATCCAAATTATAACCTTTTTTTTTAAATATCGTTATTTAAAACATTTTCATAATGTCTTATTTCTGTCTTGATGCTCAGGATGATGTACTTTCAAGTGTCCCCTTCAGACATCTTTCATGTGTGGTCATAAAATTAGCACATCTTGAAATCTGATTAGCCAGCGATGCTCTTACTAGACCAAATCCCAGCTAGCATAATTTACAGTCTCCTGCTTGTCAGACGGTTTTTACATTAGCAATTCAGCTATGCCAGCGGTCATTTGGGACGTACATGACAGAATGATGACATGTTCAGCTTTAAAGAGACTCAGCGTGTGCTTAAACCAACCTCTGAGAAAGCAAACCCCTTTATACAAAAACAACATCATTACCCTCCACTTTTACAACATCTTCAATAGGAATGATTGATGTTCCTCTGCTTTCACGAACCCCAATCTGCTGTTGCACAAACCTACGGCTATGAACTAACTTGTAGTAATGGCTGGCGGGTGAACGGGCTAAAGCTCTGTGTGCACCATATGGGCTGTTAAACGTCTCGATTTAAAGCACAAGGCAAAAATCAACAGTGACAAATCTTTCATTGAGCTCCAAGCAGCGAAACCGTGTCTTTGGTTGGAAACTGAATTTATCAGCCAAGAGCTATAACACGAGGCATTTCTTCCAAAATCGTTACACTCTACCAAACAAACTTTACTACTTAGCAGGGACTAATATCCATCCAGAGAAATCCCTCACCGTTCTTAGTATGCTGTATCTGGCGATGTTTAAAAAAGGACACTTTGAGTTCAAACCAATTAACCTATTCATATTCATAAGACATTGAGTTAGGGATACATCCAGGAAGTTGTTATCGCAGAATAAAGCCTGACAGGCTTATCGGCATTTTAACGCAAAGCAGAGAACTGTTTTGTAAAACTGAGGGGTATATTCTTCAAAAACTGAATCTAATGTATCCTGCTTATTACATATAAGGCTGCTTGCCACAAAACATAAAAGTTAGACACAAAGCGTTGCTCTAAGGCGTATTAATTCTTTATTTACTCTTTATTTTAACACAAAGGTGACAGAAACGAAAGCAGCTGAATAGAGCTGATAGAGTAAACACTAACCTGAATGTTATTCAGTCACGAGATGGCGGCAAGCAGTCAAAAGTGCAAAGCTGACAGAAATGAAAATGGCTAACAGAGTATACACTAACCTGCGCATTATTCAGACACAAGATGACGACAAACAGTCAAAAACCAAAGCTGACAGAACATACAACAGCTGATGGAGTATATACTAACCTGTGCATTATTCAGACACAAGATGACGACAAACAGTCAAAAACCAAAGCTGACAGAACACACAACAGCTGATGGAGTATATACTAACCTGTGCATTATTCAGACACAAGATGGCGACAAACAGTCAAAAACCAAAGCTGACAGAACATACAACAGCTGATGGAGTATACACTAACATGTGCATTATTCAGACACAAGATGGCGTTAACAGTCAAAAACCAAAGCTGACAGAAACGAAAACAGCTGATGGAGTATACACTAACCTGCGCATTATTCAGAAACAAGATGGCGCTAACAGTCAAAAACCAAAGCTGACAGAAACTAAAATAGCTGATGGAGTATACACTAACCTACACATTATTCAGACACAAGATGGCGGCAAGCAGTCAAAAACACAGAGCTGACAGAAATGAAAACAGCTAATGGAGTATACACTAACATGTGCATTATTCAGACACAAGATGACGACAAACAGTCAAAAACCAAAGCTGACAGAACATACAACAGCTGATGGAGTATATACTAACCTGTGCATTATTCAGACACAAGATGACGACAAACAGTCAAAAACCAAAGCTGACAGAACACACAACAGCTGATGGAGTATATACTAACCTGTGCATTATTCAGACACAAGATGGCGACAAACAGTCAAAAACCAAAGCTGACAGAACATACAACAGCTGATGGAGTATACACTAACCTGCGCATTATTCAGAAACAAGATGGCGTTAACAGTCAAAAACCAAAGCTGACAGAAACGAAAACAGCTGAGGGAGTATACACTAACCTGCGCATTATTCAGAAACAAGATGGCGCTAACAGTCAAAAACCAAAGCTGACAGAAACTAAAATAGCTGATGGAGTATACACTAACCTACACATTATTCAGACACAAGATGGCGGCAAGCAGTCAAAAACACAGAGCTGACAGAAATGAAAACAGCTAATGGAGTATACACTAACATGTGCATTATTCAGACACAAGATGGCGGCAAACAGTCTAACATGCAAAGCTGCCAGAAATGAAACCAACTGATGGAGTATACACTAACCTGCACATTATTCAGACACAAGATCGAGGCAAACATTCAAAAACGCAAAGCTAATAGTAACGAAAACAACTGATGGAGTATACACTAACCTGCACATTATTCAGACACAAGATGGCGGCAAACACATCAGAAATGCAAAGTTGAGAAAAATTAAACTAGCTGATGGAGTATACACTAACCTGCACATTATTCAGACAAAAACACAAGGCTGACAGAAATGATAACAGCTGATGGAGTATACACTAACCTGCGCATTATTCAGACACAAGATGGAGACAAACAGCCAAAAACACAAAGCTGACAGAAACGAAAACCGCTAATGGAGTATACATTAACCTACACATTATTCAGACACAAGATGGAGTCAAACTGCGAAAAACCAAGGCTGACAGAAACAAAAACAGCTAATGTAGTATACACTAACCTGTGCATTATTCAGACACAAGATGGTGCCAAACAGTCTAACATGCAAAGCTAAGAGAAATGAACTTAGCTTATGGAGTATACACTAACCTGCGCATTATTCAGTCACAAGATAGTGGTAAACAGTCAAAAAATGCAAAGCTGACAGAAACTAAACTGGTTGAATGGAGTATATACTAACCTGCATATTATTCATTCACAAGACGCCACCAAATAGTCAAAAAAAAGAATAAAAAACAGCAACATTCCAGACAAGCAGATACAATAGAAAGATACATTCACTGACAGTCAAGGTAATTCCCAAATTATAATAACATTATTTATTTATTTATTAGGGTTTTTTCAGCTTTATTGTATAGAACAGTAGAGTTCAGACAATAAAGTGTGGGCAACAGAAAGAGGGGAACAGGATTGGCAAAGGACCTTGAGCCAGGACTCGAACTCGGGTCGCTGTAAGCAGTGATATATGACAGCGCACTTAACCACTAGGCTATTAGCACCTACATAATAACTTTATTTAAAGCAATATCAATCTCAGGTTATTATGATGTCCTCAGAACATTATTAGAACATTCCATTTACGTTATAATAATGTTCTCAGAATGTTTTTCTTTCAGCATTATGAGAACATTGATCAAAAACAACTAACATCCTAAAAATGTTCCAAGAATGTTGCTCTAAAACCCTTTTTCTACTTTAAAGGTGCCCTATTGTGCCCGCTTTTTACACTATATAAAATTAGTCTCTGATGTCCCTAGGATGTGTATATGAAGTTTCAGCTCAAAATATTAAACAAATAATGCTTTATAGCTCTGAAACTGCCTCTTTTGGGCTTTGATACAAATTGTGCCATTTTGGTGACTGTCGCTTTAAATTCAAATGAGATTGTACTTTTTTTTAAAGAGGGTGGAGCTACAAATTTCTATGTCTGCATAGTGGCAAATTCAAAAACAATCCTATGCTAATGAGGGAGAGATGGTCACTAATTTGGCGGGGATTTCCCTCTCTGATGACACGTAAAAAAGGAGAATGTCAATCAAATTGATTCTGCAAACTATTTTTATCAAGTGTGATCATAAAAAAAATAAAACTGATACATTTTTACCATTAGAAGCTGGTTATATTCACAGACTTTTGCCACACAATTGTATTTAAACCCCTTATAAAAGTGATATTTGCATAATAGGTCCCCTTTAATAATGTTGCAAGCTTTTACACAACTTTTAGGGAATGTTATGGAATGTTCTGAGATAGCCTGGTTAGCGATATAGTCAACTGAAGTAAGTAAAATCCCTTTACCTTGTGGAAACTGCCGTGGAAAATCTTCTTCACGTGGTCGTTATCAAAGGAGACTTTCTGAATTTCCCCTCTAGTGTCTTTATTGTAGAAGGAGATCACTCTGCTGGAGGCTGAAAAACAAAACACACTCGTACAGATGGCCTACACCCGAGCAAAAATGACACAAAAACAACAAAATAACAAAGAATTTCCTCGCTCATTTGAACTTGATGCTCGAAAACACTTGATTATGCGTTTCTCAGCAATTACGCCTATAAATCACTGCAAATCTGGAACCCATTTAGAGCGTTTCTGTTTCTGAGTAAGATTTAGCAGACGGACTACACACACACACACACACACACACACACACATATACACACATATTAGAGAGTAAAGATAAAAACTGGCTTACGGTCAATGGTGAGCCCGACCTCAGGGTTATTGTTCTTATCTGAGATCTGCCATAAATCAAACGCATCCTTGCCGGTGTCCGGGAGCAGACGGAAGAGGAGGATGAGGGTGTAGGATGGAGGAAGACCATCTGGATGGATTTCCCTTTAAATAAAACAACATTTATTATTGCACAGAATGTTATCAGGCATCCTGCAGTCAAATCATGTGACAATGCAAAATATGACCTGTACATGATGGAAACTTAGCATGTGTAATGAAATGTAATGTAATGTGTATTTATGTAGCGCATTTATTATGTACGGCCATACACTCAAAGAGCTTCACAATCATGAAGGGATTGCGGGGGTGGAGTCCTCTCCACACCCTCACTAGTGTGCGGCATCCACATGGATGATGCGACGGCAGCCCCAGGACAACGACGCCAGTGCGCTCATCACACACCAGCCAATGATGGAATGGAGAGACAGCAATAGAGCCAATTCAGTAGATGGGGGTAGTTCGGGGGTCTTGACACACAACTCAGTGAATACACTCCACTTCAGGGCGTAGGCAAACCTCATCGAGGGGGCTCTAGCCTGAGTGATGGTATTAACCACCATTATCGGTAGGTTACCCAAGTCTTCCTCACGTCTAAGGACCACATGTGGAAGTTCCAAAGATCGGGGCGAGGGTTTCAGATGTTGCTCTGTCCCTGAGAGAGTAGATCCTCTACCAAAGGGATCTGCCAGGGGAGGGCCATCAAGAGGAGGAAGAGTTCTGATATCCAGGTCCGGTTGGGCCAGAGAGGTGCAACTAGCAAGACTTGCTCCTTTTCCTCCCTGAACTTGCACAGTAACTGCGCGAGAAAGATCACTGGGGGAGACACATATTTGCGCATGCCACGAGATCAGCTGTGTGCCAGTGCATCCGTGCCGAGAGAGAGTCCTTGGTCAGGGAAAAAAACACTGGCAATTAGCGTTTCAGGGGGAAACAAACAGATCAATCTGCGCTTCCCTGAATCACGCCCATTTCAGCTGAACAGACAGGAGTCACATGACAACTCGAACGCCTAAAAACTTGTAAATTAAGAGACCGCTGTTATTTTAAGAGGAAATTTAGCATCAAGATCAAGTTGGGAATTACTTCAGAAGATCAGCGCGATCGAAGAATCATTATTCAGAGGATGATATTATTGTGTTAAGCCTGCTTTATACTTCTGCGTCAAGTGACCGGCGTGACCCACGGCGCATGCAACGAGCGTAGCTGTGCATTTATACTTCTGCGCGCTGTCTCTGTTGGTCTGCATTAACACTTCTGAAACGCTAGTTGGCAGTGAGGTGTAAATGTTCCTCTGTGTCGAGTTTCTTCTCTGCTGTTTTGCTTTTCCTGAACACTTCCTGGTACAAGTGGCTCAAACTCGCTCATTTTGAGGCAGGAACCGGCGGGCGTGCAACAACTTTAACTATGAGGTAAACACAAAACAAAACTTTCCATCAGGAGCTCCTTCACGGGACTCCACACTTGTAAACAATCGCTCCATTGGGCTCGCGTCCAGCTTGCGGCATTCACGCAGCTCTCGGTCCTGCCCAGACTCGTCAGCGCTACCAAGCTGACCAATCACAGAGCTTGTGCTACGCGTCGTTGCGACGTGTAGTTACAATTTTTGAGAGGTGCACGTCAGCGATGCCGACGGTCACGGCGAAGGGCTATGCGTCAGCGCCGTAGCATACGCCGGCGTTTGACGCAGATGTATAAATCAGCCTTTACACAGCATTAATTGAGGTTGGTGTCGTGATCTTGTTCTCTTCAAGTGAGCAAGCAAATTAGCTATAGCAGTTAAAATGTTATTGGATTTGAAGGACAGTTGTTTATTTTTCTTGGTGACTTCAAATATGAAATTTACTGTAAGCTTGGCAAACAGTTTTTCGAGAATATGATGTTTTCCCATTCAAACAGAAAGTAATAGAGGTGTTTTAAAGATGGTCGCCGAGTGAAACGACTTAGCTATTTGTCACTGTATAGACACGTTTGAAAATGTTTCAAAACCTTGAAACATTTGCTTTGACTGTTTTAGTGCTTTTCAAAACCTCGCTCTGCCCACCAATATTTATTAATCTAATGATTCTGTATACCAGGGCCGGTGTTCTGCAAAGTTTAGTTTCAACCCTAATCAGACACACCCAGGCTAGTCAAGCTCTTACTAGGCTTTCTAGAAACATCCATGCAGGTTTGTTAAGGCAAGTTGGAGCTAAAATCCGCAGGACACCGGCCCTCCAGGACCAAGTTTGGACACCTCTGCTCATTACAATCTATGAAATATTGGCATATATAACAACAAATGTAAATAAAACCATTGTTTACTTCTGTGTTTGGAACAAAGTGCTTCTTTTCACCGTAGTGGATATTTTTCTATTTACTTTTCACTGCTATATGATGGAATAAAGTCCAATATCATGGACAGCAAGCTTAACATGTTGTGAACCCCCAAAAACATGACCTGACAAGTGAAGTCTATTAAAACAAACATATTGAACAAAGGGTTAACTGGTGGTGCAGTGAAACCAGACATAATTTACAAAAGCGCAGAAGAGATTCATGTACTGTCCTCAGAGAAAAACACAAACAGACTCGCAGCCTTGAGAAAGCGCAACATACTGAAAGTGTTTTTCCCTCCTCTGGTGCGCAAAATGTTTCCATTTGAACAGCTGCTTGCCCACGCACTAATACAAATCATTAGAGACGAATAAATCAGACTTGCTTTTTCACAGAGCTTCAGCTACACTTCTTAATCTATACTTAGTCTTTCATTTCTCATCAGCGGTTACAAGTGTTTTCTTTTTTATAATTTTAATAATTTCTAATTCAGTTTTAAAGGTCCCATCAAAATAAAATTAAATGTTTTAAATGTTAGTATCAATATTGCTAGTTCTTAAAATATCTATAAGCCAGTCTGCACCAAAACAGTGAAAAACTTCACATTTAGGGGATGAACAAACATGTAAAGCATATAGTCTCATAGTATTCACAGCCTTTGGCGTGAAGCTCTAAATTTAACTCTGGTACATTCTGTTTCCACTGATCATTCTTGACATGTTTCAGCAGCTTCATTGGAGTTCACCTGTGGTAAACTCAGTTGATTGACATGCACTGTCAACTTTGGGAGCTTATATAGACAGGTGTATGCCTTTTCAAATTATGTCCAAAGCACAAACCAAGCATGAAGACAAAGGAATTGTCTGTAGACCTCCGAGACCGGATTGTCTCGAGGCACAAGGCTGAGGAAGGTTATAGAATAATTTCTGCTGCTCTGAAAGTTCCAATGAGCCCAGCGGCCCTCCATCATCCAAAAGCGGAAGATGTTTAGAACCACCAGGACTCTTCCCAGAGCTGGCCGTCCATCTAAGCTGAGTGATCGGGGGAGAAGGGCCTTAGTCAGGGAGGTGATCAATAACCTGATGGTCACTCTGTCTGAGCTCCAGCGTTCTTTTGTGGAGAGAGGAGAACCTTACAGAAGGACAACCATCTGTGCAGCAATCCACCAAACAGGCCTGTATGGTATAGAGTGGCCAGACGGAAGCCACTTCTTGCCTAGAATTTGCGAAAAGGCATCTAAAGGACTCTCAGACCATAAGAAACTAAATTCTCTGGTCTGATGAATTTAAAATCGAACTCTTTGGAGTGAATGCCAGGCGTTATGTTTGGAGAAAACCAGGCAGCACTCATCACCAGGCTAATACCATCCTTACAGTGAAGCATGGTGGTGGCAGCATCATGCTGTGGGGATGTTTTTCAGCAGCAGGAACTGGAAGACTAGTCAGGATAGAGGGAAAGATGAATGCAGCAATGTACAGAGACATCCTGAATGAAGACCTGCTTCAGAGTGCTCTTGACCTCAGACTGGGGCGACGGTAAAAGATTAGCAGGACAATGACCCAAAGCACACCGCCAAAATATCAATGGAGTGGCTTCACAACAACTCGGTGAATGCCCTTGAGTGGCCCAGCGAGAGCCCAGACCTAAATCCTATTGAACTTCTTTGGAGAGATCTGAAAATGGCTGTACACCGTCACTTTCCATCCAACCTGATAGAGCTTGAGAGGTCCTGCAAAGAGGAATGAGCAAACATTCCCAAAGACAGGTGTGCCAAGCTTGTGGCATCATATTCAAAAAGACTTGAGGCTGTAATCGCTGCCAAAGGTGCATCAACAAAGTATTGAGCAAAGGCTGTGAATACTGATGTACATCTGATTTTCAGGTTTTTATTTTTTATAAATTTGCAACAATTTAAAAAATAATTTTTTCACAATGTCATTATGGGGGATTGTGTGTAGAATGTTATGTATATATAATTATTATGTCATTAAATAATGATATTTTTAACTAATTGCTAAAATATAAATTCAGGTTTATTTCAGTTAATAAAAGCTTTTCTGTTTTGTTAAGAAAGTGTTTTCAATAAAAATAAATAAAGTTTAAAACACTATTGCAACTAAAAATGCTTCATTTTTCCAAACATTAATGCAGCTGGTTGGCAGCAGCTTCTGCTTGGACTTTTCTTTCACACTTCAGTCAAGCCAAAGCAAACTCCAACATCTCCTCAAACATAGCAGAAGTCAGCTTCATCCTCCCCAGTTTAATCATGAGAACATCTTTAATGAGTTCACTGGAAACTTCTGCAACATCTGACACTTCATTCACTTCAACTACATACAAACAACAAGAAAAGCTTTGGGGAAACTATAGACTGCCGAAACCATAGACTGCAGAAACCATAGACTGCAAGGCCTCTGAAGGTGGTTAAAATAATTGCAATCCCCCAACCACCATTACAGTCTATAGGGGATCTGCTCAGAAAACCCCAAAACACATGCTCTACTGTCAGACCTACTTTGTTGGCTGGGAAATGAAGGCGTCCTTATGGAGTCTGTATGCGATGAAGCTGTTGAAGGAGCCGGTTTCCAGAGAGACGCCGTTCATGCCTGCGTAGGTCTTGTCAGTGATGTTGAAAGCTTCCAGCATCCTGAAGCCTGAATGTTTTTGTGGAAACATCAATAAAGAGATGCATTAGTGTGTGATGATGGAGGAAAACAGGACTATGGTAATTTATAGACTTTTTAAATGGAAAGTTTTTCTGACCTGGTGATGTGAATCCATTGAGGTAAATCAAAGGGCATGCTGCAAAATAAAAGTTTTCTCTTTTACGTGTGTCTTTTGTGATAGGAATAACGTGAATAATGCAGACTACAAAGCCTTGTTTCCAATGAGCGGTACCGTTTAGTACAGTACAATTCTAAAATGTACTATGTACAATGTACAAATGTGATCGTACGAATGAATACGAATAAAACCTGAACCAAAAACTTACATTGTGTGAAGAGCAATGTTATGCTCTGTTCTTAGGCTTCGAAAAGTTTTTTTGAGAAAACTTGGAAGGTTTAATTGAAGTGTATCGTTTTATTGTATAGTATCCCTGCTGAAAAATCCAGCTTAAACCAGCCTAGGCTGGTTGGCTGGTTTTAGCTGGTCGACCAGGCTGGTTTTAGAGGGGTTTTGGCCACTTCCAGGCTGGTTTCAGCCATTTCCAGCCTGGTCTTAGCTGGTCAGGCTGGGAGATGACCAGCTAAAACCAGCTTGATCAGCCTAGCCAAGCTGGGAGTCTAGCCAAAACCAGCTATGTCCAGCTTAAACCAGGCTGGTCAAGCTGGTTTTAGCTGGATTTGGCTGGTCATTTTTCAGCCTGACCAGCTAAGACCAGGCTGTAAATGGCTGAAAACCAGCCTGGAAATGGCCAACACCCCTCTAAAACCAGGCTGGTCAACCAACTAAAACCAGCCAACCAGCCTAGGCTGGTTTAAGCTGGATTTTTCAGCAGGGATTGTTTATTGTTTCATTGTATCATTTTGGAGCACCTACTGTAAACCTTGTTTTTCCTGACTAATTCAGGGATTGGTTTAAATCTCTGACAGACCATAGAGCGTGACATCCACTGCTGAGTTGCTTAAGCACATCAACGTCCTTGTGAGATCAAACTTGACAATAGCCCCTTTCACACAGTGATACCGGTAAATATCTGGAAAATTTCCGGAACGACTTTACCGGTATATTCAAAAAAGCGCTGTTCACACAGGCGAGGACGTTACAGAAATTTTCCGGAAAAGAGCATTCACACATCCATTCCAAAATACCGGTAAATTCTGACATCATTCACCACAAATGAGCTTTAAACGGCTGCGCTTCTATTTGTAAACATTTGACTAAATTACAGACTCTGTGGATGATCAATATTGTGAACAACTTTCGCAGGATCACTTTCGCATGTCGAGATGTTCATAATATGTGCGTGTGCAGGCACTCACCGGCTGTTTCACAGAAACACGCAAAGCTTGAAGGTAAACAAACAACGGCTTATCATAAGCATCTCATCGATGATTATTTACACAGTTGGCATTAAGAAGAACATATAAACGTGATCTGACTAACTTCTAGCAGCTAAATGTGTCTGGAAAAATATTCAAAGGCTTTTATTCTCACAAACCGCGCGGACGTAAATGCGTCTGACTGTTGTGATTGGCTAAAGCAGACGTCTCACGTCAGCACGTTCTAGACGTGCACCCGCCTATTACGGCAATCTTCCATCTGCATTCACACAGCGCAGCATTCCGGTAAATTGCCGGTAATGTTACAACTTCTCTTTCCGGAAAATAGCCAGAACCAATTTACCAGTATTTTCAAAAAGGACCTGTTCACACATACAACCTTTCCGGAAAATTGCCGGCAATTTTCCGGAAAGGTCTGTATGTGTGAAAGGGGCTAATGTTTACTTTGCTAGCGCACATTGTTATTCTTAGTGTGAACAATTATTTCATGCAAGTTAATCCACTGTAAAAATTAAAAGTTCATTTTGGTAATCTTCAGTCAAAATCTTCTGTGTTAGTAGTGGCGGAGCCTCTGTTTTGACGTCAGTTTGATACTTTAGTCACAATATTTTTAACCACGCCCTTATTTTTGTTAGTTTGCTTTAAGAAAATTTGCAAAAATAAAGCCCCGCCCCCTAATCACTATTCTGTTAGAAGTACCTCAACATACTGAAATAAAAGCCTGTGAACATCCGGTTCACAAGGACTTTAACTGCCCTCTGCCCATTTAAATCCTGCCACTTTCCAGTTATACAGTAATAATGTTGCCACCAGCCCTCCCCCAGCACACTTTTTGAAGAAATTTGCTCCATTAACTTCAAGTCAATAAATGTATTATAGTTATGTTATACAAGACTGAGCACTTGCTCACTCACCCTAGTTTATTCGCAAGACCTTTTTTTTTTTTACCTCAATCAACTTTGCTATTCAAGTTTCCAAGATGTGAGGTGAATTCTGCACTTTCCGCAATCCCATCACACATTTTGTGCTATTTGGAAATACGTTTATAATAGAGAGTTGGAATTCACTTTGCATGTAATCTACTCAATTCTTACGTAATACTTAATTTGCAATTTGTTGTGAACCAAGGATTAAACAGGGAACCATCAACAGCCCCTTAAACAACAATGGAGGACATACTCCAGATACTGTTCTTTTTTTGGCATGTGATATTTTTGTTGCTCAGGTCGACCATGGTTTATTGCTGTATAGGTTGTTGTTTTATTACTGTGTTGTATTTTAAAACGGCACTTCCTGTGTTGACGTTCCCCTGGCTTGTTGCATGCACATGTGGCGATTCCCTGTAAACCAATCAGCATTAAGCAGCGAGTCTAGTTCAGCTATTTTTGTACCATATTGTTATGTTAGGAACACTTTGGAAAGGTGGCAAAATAGTGGTGTAATAACAAAGTGTTATAATCATTTTGAAAATCATAATTGCTATATATATATATATATATATATATATATATATATATATATACACGACTTAACAAGCACATGGTTCGCTGTGTTTGTAATAATTCACGCCATATTGTACTGTACTGTACTGAACCATACTGCTCAGTGGAAATGAGCTGTAAGAATGATTTCCTACTGGACGTTGCCGTTTCACAGATGAACGTGATCAGGTTGTCTTGGATCTTGGCGAAAGCATCGAAGTTGTCGACGATAAAGACGTGTCTGTCACTGGGCTTGCTTCCAATGTTCCTCAGTTCATTAACGTCAATGTCAGCGACACCCACCACAAACACACTGTAACCTGTGGAAAACACAACAGCGAGACGTTAGAGTGTGCGCACTGATTTAATACGCTTAGTCAGTCAAAACATGTCAAGACTTACAGTAATTTCACTTCTGGTCAAATGTTTTGGATTAAATATGATTTTAGAACTTTTCAGAAGAAACTTCTTTTGTTATATTTGGCTGTATTATTGGATTAAAACAGTAAAACTGTGAAATATTATCACAGTTTCATATAACACTTTTCTATATGAATATCTTATGTAATTTATTCTTATACAAATCAAAATTTTCTAAATCATTACTTCGGTCTTACATCCAAGACACAAAGATGTATTGTCATTTTTGCTTACATTTACAGCAAGAAATGTGTGTGGACAGCAGTGCTATTTACCGTAAACCATTTTGTTATTGATATAAAATAAGTGTTAACTTATTTATGTTTGTATTCATTTAAGTTTATTTTAATTTTCATCTAATCTAATTCAGAAATACACCGAAATATCCTCTGATAATGGCATTTTTGGTATTCACCAGAGAGTGAAAAATGCTGTTGTGCCACATTGCACAGTGTTCAGCACGCTGGTTTCACTCTCCCTCCAGCCATAGTCACCAAACCCAAGAGCAACAGAACGTACTGTCAAAGAGCGTGTGCGAACACCACCCTGCTGAAAAATCCAGCTTAAACCAGCCTAGGCTAGTTGGCTGGTTTTAGCTGGTTGACCAGGCTGGTTTTAGAGGGGTTTTGGCCATTTCCAGGCTGGTTTCCAGCCATTTCCAGCCTAGTCTTAGCTGGTCAGGCTGGAAAATGACCAGCTAAATCCAGCTAAAACCAGCTTGACCAGCCTGGTTTAAGCTGGACATAGCTGGTTTTAGCTGGGCTCCCAGCCTGGCTAAGCTGGTCGAGCTGGTTTTGGCTGGTCATCTCCCAGCCTGACCAGCTAAGACTAGGCTGGAAATGGCTGGAAACCAGCCTGGAAATGGCCAAAACACTCTAAAACCAGCCTGGTCGACCAGATAAAACCAGCTAACCAGCCTAGGCTGGTTTAAGCTGTTTTTTTTCAGCAGGGTGTCAAAGATCAAAATAGCACGTTATTCCACTCTGTGAATATTCCGCTCATGTACATGTTTACTTTTCTATGAATTAACAGCTCAAACACACATGCTCACCAGAAAAGTCCACCCAAATTATGTGCTGACAGGACATTTCAATGTAGTATACTTTTTCCTGCTGCTTAAAAATAGCGCTAATGTGCTGTCATGGCATGGGTTGTAGAATATCACCCCTGGACTCAGTATCAATGAAGCTTTACTGTCAATAAGATTTAAAACTTCGAATGAAGTAAAGTTTAATATATTAAACTAATTTAATCACGACCCTCCAATCAAAGGATCCTAATTCCCTATATATATCCTCTTTTCTTTCGAACTATCTTCATCTTAAAGAAACCCCCCCCCCCTCCCCTTCTTACACCTTTATCCAGAATAGGCAGCACAGTGGCCCAGCGACTAGCAAGAATTCCAATGGCTCTGACTCCTTGCTGGACCATCTGGCATTTCTGTGCATAGCTGGCATGTTCTTCTCGTGTCCGCGTGGGTTTCCCCCGGGTTCCCCTGTTTCCTCCCAAGGCACAAATATGCTTTACATTATAGACAAATTAAACCTAGGTCTCTTTTACTAGACGTCTCTCTCTCTCTCTCTCTCTCTCTCTCTCTCAGAAAGTTCACCTTGGCCTCAGCTGTGGGGGAGTTTTGAGATCGTCCTGAGCTCAATCTCCCCTCGCCCTGCAAAGGGAGGGAGCTCTGGACTCGAGGATCCCTTGAGCTCAGGGCTCACTCCTGGGATAGCATGCCAACCAAGCTTTTTGTAAATCATCCCAGAATCAAGTGTGAACTCTTGAACTACCTTTTAGTTATGTCAGTGGCTGTTTTTGCCCTATGACTTCCATTATAATTTGCCTTTAATGCACAGGCTTATCTAAAGGGTTAATGGTGCCAACTGATGATCAACAGTAAGAAATTAAAATTGTACCTCTTCCCAACAGGGAAAACCAGCAACAATCAAGAATGCATGATTATGTTGTCAAGGCTTTGCAATCAAGACATGTCATTATAATGGAAGTCAATGGGGCAAAAACAGCCATGAAAACAATGAAAGGGTAGTCAATTTGCCCAGAGTGTGTTGATGTATTTTTGACAGTTTACAAAGCAAAATATGTGTAAAAATAAGATTTGTCACCAAAAATCATTCAATTGGCTGAAACACTGACAAAGTAGTGGTTAAATTAAGACTCAAATCACCCCTGAGTGAATGAACACATCCCCAACAGCACACAAGGGTTAATTCTTTAGATTTTACATTCATTTGTTTAATTTAGCAATTCACTAGATACATGCAAGACACCTATCAACCAGAATAAAAGCAGAATTGGTTATGGTGTTACCTGCATGCTGTAGTTTAGCAGCGCTCTTCTTCACGTCATCTTGAGAACGTCCATCGGTCACCACAACCAGTACCTTGGGAACGGTTCTCCTCATGCCATTGTCCGAGGTGAACACTTTTTCTCCAACATGCTTCAGTGCAGCACCTAAAACATTCACACAACATTAAAACAATGCAAGAAATTAAGTAGGCTACAGTTTTGTGTCAGGTATTTAACTTTTTTTACTCAATTCGAACATAACTACTTAATCTATGGTTTTGCAATGTTTATTTATATGATTATTCAAATGTCCTTCATGATGAGAAAAACTGGCATAGAGTTGCTTTATGTTGAATGTTTAGGATATAATAATATAACTATAAGCATACTATACTATAGCTATAGGATAGCATAATAACTATATGCTATCCTATAACTTCTCTTATTGTGGCAAACCGTTGTTGTTTTTGATATTTGGCGGCAGTTTAATCAGAAAGAAATTTTCTTCTCTTACGATGAAAACAGTGATTTATTCCCAAATGTTTTATGTGCTATTCTAGTTTTACTAATATCTAATTTGCATATTTGAATGGGAACATAGCTATGGACACTCAAATACGTTTCTATTTAAAAACGCATATTTTTCTTTGTTTTGGCCTTCCGTCCACACTGAGATGCATTTTTAGGAAACAAAAACGTATTCTTTTGAAAAACGCTGTCCAAAGAAGATGAATTCGAAAACGCAGTTTTTTTTTTGGTTGTAGTGTGGACTGTGAAAATGAAGGCTTTCGAAAATCATGACACATTTTAATCATGTGACCAATTCAGCTAACATGGTGGATGATATTGTAAAGCAGATGTTTTGGATGCTGTCTGTTTTGACTAGATTATGTCAGTTTGTACATGCTCCATGTTGCCTCTCTTCAAAGGACACGCAATCTTATTTGCTCAATTAAAAAAAACAAAAAAAACGCCACAATGGTGTTATTAAGACGTTCAGAAAAATAAAATAAAAAAATGTGTGAGACTGATGAAGGCAGCCAACGGAGCGAATAACGTAAAATGTACTGTCCTGTCCCATAGACACTATATTAAAAACACCTCACACAATCGGTAATTCGTTTTTTGTCATTTGAAGCAAAGATGATATAATACATACATTAATACATATAAATATTTACACGTTTTAAAAAAAAATCCAAATATTAAAAGGATTTTAAATGCTGATGAAACGCGTCATAACAGGCTTGTGAAAAGGGTCCGTTGTAACGTTTTACTGCAACATTTCAGAGAGATGGAAAGTAAATAAACGCCACGCGGATCTGATGCAGGTAAAAAGGTGGTTGGTTCTTCGTACGTGGATTACTTAATTAGTTGGATTCGGTTATTTGGCCATTTATTCCTTACACTGATTAAGAAACGTAAATAGGCTTACTATAATAAAGAAAATCCGCTCTAAATGAAAAGCTAAATAAATTGCTAAATACTCTTGACACATAAAATTGTAAGATTAAGGGTGCTTTCACACCTGTGAATCGATTCAGTTGTTCCGAAACAGAGATTACAAATGTTACATTGTTGCTTTTTGCTCTTGCATCGGTTCGCTTTCACACTGCAAAGTTTCTAATCGGAACAAAGAGCTAAAACAAGTCACGTGCGAGTAAACTCTCCTCACATTGGTCAGAGTGTCAGGGTTTATTTTGCAGCGTCCCGCTCAGCTGTCAGGAGAGGTGGTGGTTTGGTGGTGATTGACAGGGTGTGTGCGCGCGAAGTGTCTGAGGAGAGATGCGGTGGGGAGAAGTGAGAAGGGTGCGCGACGATGCCTATTTGAGGACCGGGAGGGAGACGCGAGATTACCGGGAGATCATCTATCGTTTGCGGGCATCCGGAGACTCGCGAAACTTCCCGCCATACTCATAATTCTCTCTTCATATAGCCGCAAGCCTATTACATATCCATAAAACACTGTGATATATCCGCGCTCGGATCGGATCGCTTTCTCACTGCAATCGAACCGCTCCAGGGTTCGTTTCAATCGAGCCGAGACCACCTCATTCAAGCGATCTCGGAGCGATTACTTTGGCGCGGAACAGAGCGCGATTGCCCTGTTCACATATGCCAAACGAACCGCGCTAACTGGGCAAACGAGACACGTTCCGAAACAAAAGTGTAGGTGTGAAAGCACCCTAAAAGATCCAGGATCTGCCAAATCATTTTAGATCATTTAAGCGAGGTAAGAAAAACAGACCCAGGGTTTTCAGTCATTTTAGTGTGGATGACGGAAAGAATTGAAAATGATCACATGGAGCATTTTTAGATGAAAACGCTGCTTTCAATTTTTCAAGATTAGCGTAAACGTAGCCCTAGGAAACTAAAACCACAGAAACAAACCTGTTTTGGTGTTTCCTCCTCTATAATTGACCATCTGAAGAGCAGACAGCACCATTCCCTTGTCGTGGTAGGTGTTGAGCTTGAACTCAGTTTTGGCGTCGTCGCTGTACTGCACGAAAGACACCTACATTCACAGAATGAGAAACAGCAGCGGGTGAAGATGTCAGCCAATCCAGTTCAAGCGTCTGATCACATGACTCCTGTAGGGTACCTGCATGCCCTCATGGCTGACCACATCAAACGCCCCAATCATGCTGAACACAAACTGCCGGACTTTAGCGAAGCTGTCATCTCCGATACTCCACGAGCCATCGATCAGGAACACCAGGTCAGCCTTGGCACCTTTGCACACTGCCATCACAAAACAAATGTGTGAAACATAGAAAGAGTAATGAAAAAAACCATACTCAAGTAAAAGCAACATTACTTGCCAAGAAAATGTAGTGCAAGTAGAGTAAAAGTATTTGTTCTAAATACAGTACTACTCAAAGTTACCCTTCTAAAAGTACTTATGAGTAGTTAGTGTAATAAAAATGATTAACCTGCTAATTGAAAATGTATCTAATATCAGTGATTATTTTCTTTTAGGGGTGCTTTTAAGTACAATTAAATTGAGATTTATACACTATCCATTAAAAAGGTGGGATAGATATAGTTCGAGAACACTTTAAATTAATGTGCGCATCTATAATTAGCCGACAGAAAGTAGGTTGGTGTGTTTGCATGCAGAGAGAAAACTGTATAGCCTAAAATAAGAGCACAAATCTAGTTGTGCTTATGTGTTAGCGCTCTGGCTATGCACTTTAAAGCCTGACAAAAAAGATATGAGTGTCCAAACCAAGCTCCTGCAGCACTCATAGAATAAATGTGATTGAAAACGTAACATTCTGTAGTGAATTTACATTCATTCATTCATTCATTCATTCATTCATTCATTCATTTTCTTGTCGGCTTAGCCCCTTTATTAATCTGGGGTCGCCACAGCGGAATGACCCGCCAACTTATCCAGCAAGTTTTTTACGCAGCGGATGCCCTTCCAGCCACAACCCATCTCTGGGAAACATCCACACACACATTCACACACACACTCATACACTACGGACAATTTAGCCTACCCAATTCACCTGTACTGCATGTCTTTGGTCTGTGGGGGAAACCGGAGCACCCGGAGGAAACCCACGCGAAGGCAGGGAGAACATGCAAACTCCACACAGAAACGCCAACTGAGCCGAGGTTCAAACCAGCGACCTTCTTGCTGTGAGGCGACAGCACTACCTACTACGCCACTGCCTCGCCTACATTCAGTAATTTTCTTCCTCATTCATCATTTCTACCGTTGGTCACCTGTTACTTCTGACTGCAGGTTTATAATCAATGAAAATTATTTAAAAAGAGCTTTGAGATTAAACATGGTCAATCGTTTGGATCATCATGTTACCAAATAAACCTTAATATTCATATATAAATGTAAATATTTGTATTTACATAGAATACATGTAATTTGTGCATGTGTTTGAAAACGTAAGATTCTGTAGCGGATTTACTTTTAGTCCTTGTCATTTTCTTTCTCATTCATCATTTCTACCATTGGTCACCTGTTACTTCTGTCTTTAGGTTTATAATCAGTCAAAATTACTTACAAAGTGCTTGAGAATAAAACCTGGCAACTCTTTCGGATCATATTACCAATCAAACCTCAAAATTCATAATTAATATGTAAAAGTCTTGAATTTACATCTTAAAAATCATCTGTCACTCTGACTTCACATTCAACTGTCTTACAAAAGCAAAACTTCTGAACAGCTGACAGACGTTTAGATCTGTTATTTAAAGAGGGACAAACAAGCAAACCAATTATAGCTTGATTGATTTGATATTATTAAAAGTGCTTCTTGCTAGTCGCTGGGCCACTGTGCTGCCTATTCTGGATAAAGGTGTAAGAAGGGGAGGAGGGTTTTTTTTTTTAAGACGAAGATAGTTCAAAAGAACAAGAGGATATATATAGGGAATTAGGATCCTTTGATTGGAGGATCGTGATTAGCTAATATGAACCAGCTTTGTCAATCATGAGCGCGTACTCTTCTCGAAATTAGATTAATATATTAAAGCTCTAACCTAAATCTGTCTGCGACTGTAATAAACAGATAATTTTCCAGTGTAACCTCTATAAATAGATCAACCCAAAACTAATGTTACAAGGAAGAATATGCTAAAGATTAGCACACGCACAACTGATGATCAATTTAGACCCTGTCCACATTAAATATCTTTAAATATTTTTCTACGTCTTATTTATAATATACAAAAGCATTTGTGCTGAAGGAGGTTTGAAATAGCTCAAGACCTCTGAAACAGTGCCGCGAACACGCTATGCAAAATGTTATTTTGGTTTCATTCATACTGGATGCTAGAGGGCGCCCTTGTACATAATCTATACATAAACGTTACTAAAGAAAAGACTTCAGCTATCACTACAGGACAGCAAAGGATATAGAAATAAATAAACTGATTAGACATGATTGAACACAATAAACATGTACCTCTGGCAATGTATGGATTGTTTGTGTTCATCAAGCCATCCTGGGTATCTTATAAGCATAACATTCATTTATAATGCTATGCTAACTGACCTAGCTATTAATACTGTATTGAATACTATAAGATAGCACTGGATATCTTTTAATATTGTTAGAAACATAACAGCGGGTCTGTATCCAGCAATTTGACCCAAAATCAGACATTTGATTGTAATTACTGTGCTCAAGTTATCACCGTGTTATTCACTCTACATATAAATAACAGAGCTTCATTACAGCTAATATCTTCAAAACTGAGAAAACTATCCGAACATCAGTACAAAAGTTTTTGCAGTAGATGATAATGAGTTTTAAAGCTCAATATGAACGAGATGTGGTTCGCCTTTGGTTATTAATCCTCATATACAGCATTCATAATATTAATGACGTGACCATTTTCCTGTTTCATTCAGGACGCAAACACTGTTCATCCACATTTTACTACTAAAATTCCATGACTATTGCAGGACCTACATCTACAGATATGTGGTATATCAGTGGTCACCAAACTTGTTCCTGGAGGGCCGATGTCCAGCAGATTTTAGCTCCAACCCTAATCAAACACACCTGAACAAGCTAATCAAGGTCTTACTAAGTATACTTGAAACATCCAGGCAGGTGTGTTAAGGCAAGTAGGAGCTAAACCTTGCAAAACCCTCCGAGATTGGTGACCCCTGTGGTATATAATTAAAAATAAAAATGCATGTTCAAATTTATTACAGCATATCATAAAACACGCAACAATCTATCCAGCAGCTTAGACTGGCAGCTAGCTCGATGCAACTCTCACATCGTTGTCCACTAATGCTAAGCAGGGCTGCGCCCGGTAAGTACCTGGATGGGAGACCACATGGGAAAGCTAGGTTGCTGCCGGAAGTGGTGTTAGTGAGACCAGCAGGTGGGCACTTAACCTGTGATCTGTGTGGGTCCTAATGCCCCAATATAGTGAAAGGAACTCTATACTGCTCAGTAAGTGCCGTGTAAGGATGTGAAACTTTTAGAATTTGCAAGAAAAAAGTAATGTATTATTGGATTTTGCCTAGTGAATGTAGCCTAAAAGCAAGTGGTTTTGTCTGGGAGTGTCTTTACCCTCGAGTGCAGAAGGAATGGTGGCTGGAGGTGGAGGAGTTGGAGGTAGTGTTGGGGCGACGGTGGGCTTCACCACTGAGGAAAAGACAGAAAGCAGATCTCATTAGTGCGTGTAAACAAAGCTAAGCAATTCCATTAAATGTCAACCTTGAACCTTTCACCAAAATAGCGAAATCCTTTAATTTTTGTTTTGTTTTGTAGGCTTGTATTTTACAGTGCCGTAAAAATACTCACAAATGTCTGTCAGTGTATTCAAACAATTATATTTGATTTACCAAAGTCACACAAGTCCCAATTTCACATCTGTCACATGCATAGTGGAGAGGTGAGACATCCATAACCAAGCTTTTTACTCATAAGTGTGAAAATGTAAACTAAACTAAAATCAATCATTTTTGTTCTATAGAGAGCCGACTATTATCCTTTTGATTAGCATAATTTCTTTTGGATTTTACAGTTTAATTCACAGAATATACTGTATATACTCTAAGCTCACAGACTCTTTTGATCCCATCATAACGCATGTTTATTTTCCTCATTTAAAATATAAAAAATGTTGACAGACTGATATACTAGCTTGCCGGCAGCTAGCTCTCTGCAACTCTCATGGTGGTCACCCACTGAAGCTAAGCAGGGCTGAGCCTGGTCAGTACCTGGATGGGAGACCACATGGGAAAGCTAGGTTGCTGCCGGAAGTGGTGTTAGAGAGGCCAGCAGGGGGCGCCCAACCTGCGGTCTGTGTGGGTCCTAATGCCCCAGTATAGTGACGAGGACTCTGTACTGCTCAGTGAGCGCCGTCTTTCGGATGAGACGTTAAACTGAGGTCCTGACTTTCCGTGGTTGTTAAAAATCCCAGGATGTCCTTCGAAAAAGAGTAGGGGTTTAACCCCGGCATAATGGCCAAATCTGCCCACTGGCCTCGGTCCATCATGGCCTTCTAACCCTCCCCATATCATAATTAGCTTCATCACTCTGTCTCCTCTCCACTAATCAGCTGGTGTGTGGTGTGTGGTCTGGCGCAAAATGGCTGCCCTCGCATCATCCAGGTGGATGCTGCACACTGGTGGTGGATGAGGAGATCCCCCCCCTATGTGTAAAGTGCTTTGAGTGCCCAGAAAAGCGCTAAAAAATGTAATAATAAATTATATTTCTGATTCTGTAACTCTGTGGCTAGTTTTTTTTTTGGAAAATATAAACAAGGTATTAACATATACTATAATATTTCTAAATATATAAATTTATATTTAGATTTTTTTCTGCAAATGTCACATCTATAATGCTAGAATTATTCAGCTGTAAGACCGAAGTTCTTGCTGGTGTTGTGACTTACGTGTGCGCTCTTTGACACTGACTCCGGGCCCCTCTCGGTTGGGGGTCTGCGTGTAGACGGTGGCGTTGTATAGCGCGTCTGGCGTCAGGCCGTCAAAACAGTACTGGCTCTCAGCCGCAGTGATCGTGACCTCCTGAGCTCCACGGTGAGATGCTGGTGGAGATGGAAAACACGAGCAACGTCAGCTCAGACAAACTACTGCATTCCTCAAACTATTTAAGAATTTTAGGGCAACACATTTAGGATTAACGTAATTAAAGGGACATCCAAAAATTCAATTCTACCCTTATTTTACTTGTTCAGGGTTTCTTTCTTGAGATATTTTGAACAACGCTTGTTGATGGCTCCTTTTGACTTGCATTGTATTTTTTCTGATGATGTTGATGGGTGCCAACAAGCAGTTTTCTTCAAAACATTTGCTAAGAAGCTTAAGGCAAAATGAGGGAGAGTAAATAAAGGATGAGGTAATTCTCTTGGAAAGCATTTGAAGTGCTCCTGTATTCAAGAAGTCTCCTAAGACACTTAAAACTGTTTTCCGTTCATGCAAAAAAAAGAACAACACAAAAGATTTTCTCATGCTAAACACTACAGCATCAGCTCTTTTCTGTTGTGTTTGGGTAGATGTTTCTACTCTGTTCTGATTGGTTGAGCCTTTACCAATCAAACGTTGGTAACCATATCAGTATTTAGCACTTGTAATACAAACAGTAACAAGGGGATTAATTTTAATATACAAATTCTTTGTAAATACATGCAAAGTGGACACGCAGACCAACCTAAGACATTGTTGAAGGGTAGCCAATGAACAACATAGATTAGCATCATGCTAATTTGTTGCAAACTTCAGGTAAGGAATTGCTGACAACTCATCACAGGCACACTTGAAAACAATAATAAATAGTATATCTTTGATTTGATATTACTTAAACGTTCCATGTATTTAATATTTACTCAGTAATTACAATTAATTATGCATAATTGCATGTAACTAACTCTAAAACTACTAAAACTAGCCCGCATTTTACTCTAACCATATAGTAAGTGCAGATCACTTGAAAACGACACGTCTGTCACTTTATTAACTACAACTACCATCATGCACCTCACACACACCTGCTGCAATTCTCTTCCAGATTACACACACTCAGCTAGAAACTCGTCATTGACTAATCAGATGGACCATAAAAACAGCGCACACACATCATTGCTGAGTCTTGTTTGCTTATTGTAACACTACGAAGCATTCCATTGTCTTGCCGTGTTTTCTGATCCTCACCTTGTTTGTGCTGTTTGCCCCCTGTACTGATCTCTTCCCCTGTGACCTTGACTACTCTTTTGGATTACCTGCGTGCTTCTGTCTGTTCGTGTTGTGACCTTTACCTGCCGGACGATTCTCTAAATAAAAACGCTGCGTTGTGAATCCTCAACTCTGTTGCCAGTATAGTTTTTTATTTTACAGATGGTAAGATGTAAATAGTTTATAGCAGGGATCACCAAACTTGTTCCTGGAGGTCCGGTGTCCTGCATATTGTAGCTCCAACCTTAATCAAACACACCCGAACAAGCTAATCAAGGTCTTACTAGGTATACTTGAAACACTCAGGCAGGTGTGTCGAATTTAGAGCTAAACCTAACAAGGCACCGAACCTCCAGGAACGAGATTGGTGATCCCTGGTTTATAGCAATCCCAGAAAGTTTTGACCTTGTGGGAACATTTATTTTGGGGTCCAAATGAGAAAATGGAAGCTTTAGCTATAGTTCTACCAGGAAGACTGAGATGTCACGTCATTCATAATAATTATCTCGTCAGCCTATAACAACCAAACAAGCCATGTATATAAGCCCATCTAAACAATCTGTTTCGCTGTACTCAGGGGATGTTGCGGACGTTTCCCTCCATCCTCCCCATTACCACCACCACCAGGTCGGCCTCGTCTCCACTCAGGGGGTTGGCTTCGCCCTGCCTTCATCTACAGACAGAATCTGCCAGCTCATCCAGAGTTCTGCACTATAGATGGGGCTTACGCCAAAGGACTTAATGAAAGGACCATAACGAACTCGCATCTATGCAAACAATACACAATAAATGTTCAAACGTTTATCTGCCTCCTAAAGTCTTTCTGGTAGAAAACTTATTCTGTATATAATCCATAATTAAGCAGGAGAACAAGTATGAGGGCAAGCAGAGATAGTAATTACTATTATTAATAGATATTTAGGGTTGACTGATCTTTTCATGGCTATGACATGTGGCTTAAGTATTTTAAAGTGTCTTAGAGTGGGACATGAATAAAATGCAGCATCAACTTAAAAGAATTCCTCCTTACGGTTGAAAGGGTTGACTTTGAGTCTGTAGGAGGTGGCAGCTCGATGAGGAGTCCATCTGATGCAGAAAGAGTCGTAGCCCACGTTGTAGGAAGTGAGGTCGGTCACGTTGAGATACACTGCAATGGTCAACAGCGACGTACAATTAAAACATCTCCACAACAAGGCTGCAGGATTTCTCATTTAAAGGAAGCAAGCACATACGGGTGGTTCCCTGTCCGACCAGAGCGCCGCTCAAGCCCGCATCATACTGAGCGTAAACCTTCAGGTCGTATGTGGTGCCAGGCTGGAGGTTGTTCAGGTGGTGTGAAGTCACGTCTCCAACGAAGGCTTCCATGGTGTCGGTTGTGCCTGGAGTAACAGATAAACAACTCAGTAGAGCTTGTGTTGTGTTATAACCTTCAGTTGTGTCCAAAATGGCTATCCACTTTTACACTCAGCCATGTAGAGATGCAGTTTACTGTCATCCTAAATGGAACTTTTTTTATGTACTAACCAGATATTCAAACTGTTTCCAAGATGATATACAATTTACATTTTCACCCGATGACTTGAATATCTCTATTTGGGAGGAATTGATCCTTTTAGATGATTCTGTAGTGGGAGTGCATCTGCATAAAATCAAATAAACTATCTAGAAGCTTAGACAAATACAATGAAAAATAAATACTACTGAAACAAGCAACGTTTAAGTGTTTTACGCGTCAAACAGTATTCAGGTGCAGTAATTGATTATTGATGCATCATTATTAAAGGTTCACGAAACCCTCGAGTACATTTTTTTTTGAGAATTTAACAGATTTGTGTGTGTTGAGCATCAGTTAGGGCAATGTTAGCACCTGTTAGCTTTAATTGTGGGAAAAACTGAGTAATTTTGAGATTTTGTCAGCTAATTTCAGCTTCTGGGTTTAAAATGATTTTTGGGGCGGATCAAAATCGACGACGGAGCACAAAACTGCAAGTGCATAGATGACGCGTCGGTTTCTCATTATTATTCATAGCGGAGTTTTCTTATCCTATGAGAAGAGTTGGCTTCTTAAATATTCATGAGAGCACGTGCTTTCGAAGACAAAGCAGACCTGGCTGCCAGTGCCAAGCTCAGCTGTGAAATGTGTATGTTGACTGGTTGAGATGCGTCTGCGGACCCACGGCACGCAATATTTAGCAACATTTACATTCATGAGGGCTCGTATTCGTTTGTTTCCATGATCCAGGGGTGTTTGTTGCATGTTTTCCCTGCGATCCTGTCATTGTCGATACAGCAAAAGTGTGCTGCAAGCATTTTTGTCGGGAGAGCAGTACGAGAGTTGGAGAATGGCGAACGTTGTCTTTTATCAGGAGTTCGATCACATTTAGACACATCACTGTGCTGCTGTGTTCGCCTAAATCTTTCAGATTACCAGCAGGTCTAATGGTTAAAATAGACAGGGCAAGAGACTGAATCTGCATTCAGACCCCAGGATTGAGGAAAAAGTCCTCATCTAGCATTTATATGAACATGATTATCTTTACAATGATATAAATTGTGGTAATCTGTATACGAAATTACAAATGTAGCAGGGCATTAAATTACTGTTTATTTCTTTGCATTTTAACTTTGTAAACTATAAAATCACGCGTTTCCTTATGGTTGGTGTCTCATTTTGTGAACCGACTGAACAGTTGCGTGCTCCCCTCCTTCTCCCCTGCTGGCCACGCCCACTCCTGCCCTTTGCTCGCGGCGCTCCACGCCCACTTAGATGCATCTTTTGAAATTCTAAGGTGGACCGGAACCGAAAGTGGGGGGTGTCATGGCCCTTTAAAAGCTACAAATGGTATAATTTCTTATGCCTGAAAAATCTTTATACAGTCGCAGTTCTCAAAAGCTCATGCAAATGCAAAACTATAAACTATAGACTATTGTAAATGATCTTGTTGTGATATCAAGCTGAAGCGATATATTGTACAGCCATACGTAGAATAGTTCATAGGTGTGCGATTTGGAATCCACCTAGCTTAATAAAATAAAAGAAAAAAGGTCACTTACCCACTGGTGTATAGACCAGTTTATATCCATTCACCCGTGCGGCTGCAGGATCCCAGGACACTCGGAAACGTGTGTACCACTCGTCTGAAACACGCAGGTTACGAGGCCCAAGGAGATCCACTAAAGGAGACACCACATCACATCAGGGCAGTTCAATACTGTACTCATTTACAGCACTACTACAATATTACAGTTGACATTATTAATCAGCTCACTGTACCTCCATGTCATTCTTTACATCCTTTCATCTATTTGTGCATCCATCCATACATATGGCGATTTAACACAATAATTCCGGCTGCGCTATATTATCGAAACTCGAGCGATAACTCTATCGATACTAAGTATTGATGTTTATTTAAATGTACAAAAGATCTAAATTAATTCATCCCAAAGGGCACACAAGGTCATAAGCTGTTAATATTAGGTTAGATTTAGGATGTGACATTGGGTGACCAAAATTGAATGTCTAGCCAGTGTTTGAGGAGATTATTTTGATGTTCAATAATGTCGTCAATTGATGTTGAGAACCTATGTCAGACAAATGTCCACACAACATCACTAGATGTTGAAATTTGGTTGATTTTAGGTTGGACATTGAACATTGGGTTTGATTTCAACCCGATTTCATTTATTCATTCATTCCCATCAACTTTTCCGGGGCTGTGTTGTGGGGGCAGCAGTCTCAACAGAACCTCAGCAGAACCTCAGACTTCCCTCTCCCCAGACACTTCCTCCAGCTCCCCCGGGGGGATCTCGAGGCATTCCCAGGCTAGCTGAGAAACATAGTCCCTCCAGCGTGCCCTGCGTCTTGCCAGAGGCCTCCTCCTGGTGGGACATGCCTGGAACACTTCCCTAGGTAGTCGTCCTGGAGGCATCCGAAACAGATTCCTGAGCCACCTCAGCTGACTTCTCTTAATGTGGAGGAGCAGCGGCTCTACTCCAAGGTCCTCCCGGGTGACAGAGCTCCTCACTCTATCTATAAGGGTGCACACTGCGTAGGCAACTCATTTCGGCCGCTTGTATCAGAGATCTTGTCCTTTCGGTCATGACCCAAAGCTCATGACCATAGGTGAAAGTAGGAACGTGGATTGACTAACCAGTCAATAGAGAGCTTTGCCTTTCGGCTCAGCTCCTTCTTTACCACAATGGACCAGTACATCGACCGCATTAACGCTGCCGCTGCACTGATCCACCTGTCAATATCATGTTACATCTTCACTCTTGAACAAAACCCCAAGATACTTTAACTCCTCATCTTGGGGTAAGGACTTTCCTCCAACCTGGAGATGGCAAACCATGAGCACCATGGTCTCGGAGTTGGAGGTGCTGATTCTAATCCAAGCTGCGTCATCTTCGGAAGCAAACCGTCCCAGTGCATGCTGAAGGTCCATGTTCGATGAGACCAACTCGGCAGCGTTGTCCTTTGTCACCAACTCTGTTCATAAATTTTATGAACAGAATTTCTTTGAGCAGCCTTGGGCCGGAGGGGGTCCGGTTCAGGGACCACAGGATTTCATCTCTGTTATTTACAGATCTTGTTGTTCTGAAATGCAACGTCCTCACGATGTTGGGGTGCAACGTCAATCTGACGTCATGTTGGCGTCCTGTGCCTGCTAGGAATGGTTTTGCACCGCAGCCTTTTACCACTTTGGATAAGTGTCTTACAGAAATATTTATTTGAAATTTTTTTTAAATATAAGTTGTACCAAATTAGGATGCTGCTGCTTTGACTAATTTAAAAAGGTGACCTTTTTAGTCCCAAACTGCTCTCTGCTGCACATCAGCATTTTCAAGCACTTGTTTTAATTCTATAAAATGTGTTGTTGATAAACGAAATCTCGTAACTATTTATGCATTTTTCCCCTTATTATGATATATCGTGGATGGGTTTTCTCTTGATATATTATTATCAGTGCCAATATTTTGTGATAATGTTATATCTTGAGTTTACCTGTGACTCCAACACAATCTCACGGCAATTCGTAACTTTTTGATTTAGTGGCTAATTTGTATGAATTCGTACAATCTAATTCATACAATTTACTATGATTTGCTCATCCCCCAATGGCGGTTGGGTTTAGGGGTGGGGTTAGGTGCCACGCCTCCTTTTGTAAATCAACTGAACTTGTGTGAATTTGTACGAATTAGCCACTAAACTGTCAAAGCGTAAAATACTTACGTTTTCTCGTGAGATCAGGCTGGTGACTCCCAACCCTAATACATATGTTGTATTCGACATTGCATGCTTCCATACAATATAGTACGTTAAAAATAGCATGCGAGCCGAGTATTAATTCATTGAATTCGAAAAACAGTAGGTGAGAAGTACCCGGATGATCTACTACTTCCGACGAGATTCTGAAGTGAGCATCGAATGGATGCTACGCTATCCCATGATGCATCACGAGATAATTCGTAAATAAGAGTGAAGCGACACAACTGACGCGCGTAGGTCACATGATGATGAAGTTCCATCCATACTACTGACATTCATACTGTACAGAACATACTTTTCTAACGGCCGAAATGCAGTATTTACTGAGTAGTAGGCTACTATAGAGTACTAATGTGTGATTGTGTAACAATCCTTACATGTTTTTCCATCTCCACTGAGTCGTCCTCCAGGGCCATCTTGATAAATGGCTTCTACGTTGATGTTGTACGGCGTGTCTGGCTGCAGGTTTTGCAGGATGACCGAGTTACGGTTGCCTGGGACAGTTGTCTATGCGAAAACCCCCAAAAAACAGCAGGGTAAGATCATCTCTCAAGCATCCATCCAATCAAATAACCTCCACCAGACTTACAAAATCAGGATTGTAAATACCTGATGGTAACATACAGTTCTACGTGATCACTACGTGATCGTCCTGCAATAAACACTCATATAAAATACAAAACGACTTACAAATTCTTCAATGGGATCTCCAGTGGTGGGTGCGTAGCCAATGCGGTACTGAATCACAGGCCCTTCTGCATGTTCCCAGCCCACCGACAGCGTGCTGGTGGTGGGATCATAAACCCGCAGGTTCCTGGGGCCACTGCGGGGCACTGCAGCCAGAAGAACAGAAACACACTCTGAATGTCCTGCTGCTGAGGACGCCGCTCTCAAGAAATGAGCTCATTTGTGTTTATGACTTCCTACTGACAGAATTAACCAGCATACCAAACTTTGCTGGATATATTTAATTCTGTACTGTGTACTAATTCTGGAGTTATTTATTTATTAATTTATACAATAGAACAGTTCTTTGTCATCGTACTATTAAAACCTGTATTCAACTGAATACTTATTTTCCTCAGTGCTAGCTTAAAGGCATAGTCCACCCAAAAATTAAAATTCTCTTATGTATTCAGCCTCTGATTGTTTCAAACGTTCATGGTTTTTTTTATTCTGTTAAATACAAAAAGAAGATATTTTGAAGAATGTTGGAAACCTGTAACCATTGACTTATTTATTCACCCTTCAGTCCATCTATCAATTCTTCCATTCATCCCTTGATGCATCCATCCATCAATCATTCATCCATCCATCCATTCATTCATGCATACATTCAACCATCCATTTATCCATCCATCAAACTATTCATTCATCTATAAATTAATTTACCCATTCATCCATTTTATTTATGCACCCATGCATGCATCCATCCATTTATTCATCCATCCATTCATGCATGCATTCAACCATCCATGTATTCATTCATCCATGTATTTATTAATCCATCCATTCATGCATCCATTCAACTATCCATCCAGACATCTAAAAATTCATCCATCCATTCATCCATCAATTCCTTTATCCATACATACATTGAACCATCCATACAGTAATAAATCCATTTATTCACCCACATATACATTTATTCAATAACTGTTTCATGCATCCATCCACCCATTTATTCATCCATCCATCCATCCATTCATGTATACATTCAACCATCCATCAATAAATCATTTCATTCATTTAACCATTTATTCATCCACCCATGAATCCACATATCAAATTATTTATCCATCCATTTAATAATTCACACATTCATTCATTCATTCATCCATCCATCCATCCATTTATCTATACATTCAACCATCCATCCAGCCATCTATTAATCCATTCATTCATACATTTATTCTTCCACCTATGCATCTATCCATCGAAATATCCATCCATCCATGTATTAATTCAACCATTCATCTATCCATCCATCCATCCATCCATGTATTCAATAACAATTACATGCATGCATCCATTCATCCATTTATTCAGTCATCCATCCATTCATGTATACATTTAACCATCTATCCAGCCATCTATTAATCCATTCATTCATTCATTCATTCATTCATTCATTCATTCATTCATTCATTCATTAATGTATACATTCAATAATCCATCCGGCCATTAATTTATTCATTCATTCATTCATTCATTCATTCATTCATTCATTCAATCATTCATTCATTCATTCATTCATTCAATCATTCATTCATTCATTCATTCATTCAGTAAAAAGGTTTTTGGCACAAGTCTAAGAGGCGCAATAATATTGGCTTGAAATATAAATGGGGCAAATCATTCTTTCATAAACCAAATCTGATAACAAACTATAGTTCAAGGAAAAGCAACTTTCCTGAAATAGCTTCACAACTGAAAATCTTATTTAATGAATCCTGAAACGCCAATGCACAAACAGTAATGTGTCCTGAGAAAGAGGCCTAAACACATAAGGAAGAGTTAGTGGCGTCAGACTCACGTGTTTTGCCATTATCAGACACAGACGAGCCCTCTCCATCAGCATACAGAGCCACCACACTCACAGAGTAGTCAGTGTCTGATTCCAGCTGCTGCAGCAGAGCCGTGTGGGTGTTTCCTGGAACCAGCACCTAAACCACAATTAAACACTAATAATTAACAGCCACACACACACACAGACTGCCTTTGTTAAGCAGTGACATTTACGATGCTTCACATGCTTTTACACTGATGAATGAGAGAAGAGCACAAAGAACATCAGCGGCTCGCATTTCACAGCAACATCAAAGAGAAACTCAAACGGGAAAATAAGACGATTTCCACTAAATTATAGGAGAGATTATTCATATGTAGTGCAACTCAGATGACTATTTACATATGAAGTGAGCGTCCTCTATACAGTATATTACTGAACGAGCACATTAAACTAGAAAACCATTAGTACAAGAAGATACATACAAATCTGTCAGTCCATCTATCTTTCTGTCTACTTTCTATCTTTATGTCTGTCTGTCTATCTTTTGGTCTACCTATCTTTCTGTGTCGGTCTATCTTTTTCTTTGTCTTTCGGTATGTCTTTCTAGCCATTCGTTTGTCTGTCTATCTATCTTTCTGTCTACCTATCTGTATGTCTATCGATCTTTTAGTGTGTCTTTCTGTCTGTCTATCTGGCTTTCTCTTTGTCTGTCTTTCTGTCTTTCTATCCGTCTGTTTTTCTATCTTTCTGTCTGTCGGTCTATCAATTCTCTGTCTGTCTATCTATCTTTCTGTATGCCTTTCTAGCCATCTGTCTGTCTTTCTGTCTACCTATATGTCTGTCCTTCCGTCTGTCTATCTATTTTTCTGTCGCTCTGTCTATCTGTCTTTCCATCCATCTATCTGTCTGTCTATTTATCTTTCTGTCTACCTGTCTGTCTTTATTTCTGTCTATCTTTATGCACGACAATCAATCAATCAATCAATCAATCAATCAATCAATCAATCAATCAATCAATCAATCCATCAATCAATTAATCAGTCAGTCAGTCAGTCAGTCAGTCAATCAATCAGTCAATCAATCAATCAATCAATCAATCAATCAATCAATCAATCAATCAATCAATCAATCAATCAATCAATCAATCAATCAATCAATCAGTCAATCAATCAATCAATCAATCAATCAATCTGTCTGCCTATCTTTCAGCCTGTCAGTCTTTCTATCCTTCTGTCTGCCAGTCTATCTTTCTGTCTGTCTATCTTTGTCTGTCCATCTGTTTTTCTATCCATCTGTCTATCTTTTGGTCTGTTGGTCTATCTATTTTCTGTTTGCTTATCTGTTTGTCTGTCTGTCTGTCTGTCCATCATTTTGTCCATCTTTCTTCATGTCTGTCTGTCTGTGTGTCTGTCTATTTATCTTTTTGTCTGTCTATCTGTCAGTCTTTCTCTCTCTCTCTCCCTCTCTCACTGTCTGTCTGTCTGTCTATTTTTTGTCTTTCTATCTGTCAGTGCTTCTCTCTATCTGTCTGTCTGTCTGTCTGTTTTTCTACCTATCTATCTGTTTGACTTCATGTCTACTTTTCTGTCTGTGTACCTAAATGTCGGTCAGCCTTTCTATCTTCCCGTCTGTCTATGTTTCTGTCTGTTTCTCTCTGTCTTTCTGTCTGTCTATCTATCTTTCTGTATGTCTTTCTATTTGTCCTTTTTTATGTCTTTATTTTCTGTCTGTCAGTCTATCTGTCTGTTTTTATTTTGTCTGTCTGTCTATCTGTCTTTCTATCCATCTGTCTATCTATTTGTCTCCTGTTTACCCATATTTCTGTCTGTTGGTCTATCTATCTTTCTGCCTACCTATCTGTCTGTCTTGCTATCCATCTGTCTGATTATATTTGTGTCTGTCTTTGTCTATCTTTCTGTCTATTTTTCCATCTGTCTATTTTATTGTCTGTCTGTCTTTCTATATTTCCATCTATGTTTCTTTTTTCTGTCTATCTATCCATCATCTATCCATCTATCTATCTATCTATCTATCTATCTATCTATCTATCTATCTATCTATCTATCTATCTATCTATCTATCTATCTATCTATCTATCTATCTATCTATCTATCTATCTATCTATCTATCTATCTATCTTTAAGTCTGTCTTTCTGTCTATTTTTCTATCCTGTCTGTCTGTCTGTCTGTCTGTCTATCTATCTATATTTTTTATGTCTCTGTCTATCTATCTTACTATCTATCTGTCTGTCTTTATGTCTATCTTTGTCTGTCGGAATATCTTTCCGTCTTTGTCAGTCTTTCTATCAACATTAAATAATATTATATTAATTATAAATTTCATTCCAAACATTGTCAGGAAAAATATACAAAATATCATATTTACTCTAGAGACTTCTACATGTTATTATAATGCATTATAGTCTCACAGGAACAATGCTGGCTTTAAAACGCCTGCTATATTACACCCTGAGAAAGACGTCTGGCTGTTTTTCTTGCGATGACCTCCTGCACTTACGGATGTTTGTGTCACCGCTGATTCCCAACACATTACACACTCACTCGCTCCACCAATGCAACGCAGGAGGCAGTAGAAACATTCCTTTGATGTGTTAATAGATGAGCAGATAAATAATACGAGTCATGATGTGCTGACAGTGTTGCGCAATCATTTCCTTTCACCACCGTTCACATCGCCAGGTCACGAGGTCACCAGCTTCCCAATTAATGACAGAGGAAACCTTTCTTTCTCCGTTCCTGGTGACCTTTTACTTGAAAGTTTCTAGACATTCACCCAAAAATAGAAATTTCTCACCACTTATTTACACTCAAATGGTTCTAAACATTTATGAATTTCTTTCTTCTGAAAGAAAGACAAACTGAAAAAACACTTATTGACTTCCATTGTATTTTTGGTTCCTATTATGGAAGTCAATGGCTACTTTTCCCCATCATTCATAAGACATTAGACAAAAGACATAAGACAAAACACATCCCTGCTGAAAAAAAATGCTTAAACCAGCCTAGGCTGGTTGGCTGGTTTTAGCTGGTCGACCAGGCTGGTTTTAGAGGGGTTTTGGCCATTTCCAGGCTGGTTTCCAGCCATTTCCAGCCTGGTCTTAGCTGGTCAGGCTGGGAGATGACCAGCCAAAACCAGCTTGACCAGCTTAGCCAGGCTGGGAGCCCAGCTAAAACCAGCTATGTCCAGCTTAAACCAGGCTGGTCAAGCTGGTTTTAGCTGGATTTAGCTGGTCATTTTCATATTTGTTTTGCAATATGTTTTGCTCGTCTAGAAAATGCTTCTTGATTTAAGAATTTTTAGATATTTTATATATATATATACAGTATATATATATTTTAATCTTGTTTCTAGTCCAAATATCTAAAAATTCTTAAATTAAGAAGATCAAGAATATATATATATATATATATATATATATATTTATATATATAAAATCAAGAATATATATATATATATATATATATATATATATATATATATATATATATATATATATATATATATAGAGAGAGAGAGAGAGAGAGAGAGAGAGATATTTTTTTTGCAGTAAAGACCCAAAGATCAGTTGAATACATAAAAAAAATGGTTAAATTAAGTGAAGTTTATTCATAAACTAATTTCGAGAGGATCACGTGCTTATGATTTATCACGTCCAGTCTCGCATTTGCTAATCACTAATCTTCCAATCATACGAGCCCTAAGGCACCATAAATAGTCTAAGTTTCCAGTTCACTTTATCTTCGTTTGGAAGACCGCTCAGCCTCAGACTGTGCTCCAGCTATCCAATTATAGCCGCTCATCTCCAAAACAGCAACTTCTACAAACAGATCCAGCATTTATTCATCATCATCAACATCATTATCATCCGCAACTGCTACCGCTATCTTCTATTCCCTCCAACAATCAATATCTCCAACAAAACAAGCCATCATGAACAACGAGAACATCAACGAGCAAGCTAACAACCAGCCAGACCTTCTCAACTCTCCCTCCGAAAACCAACCTCTCCCCGCTCCGCCTGGCTCTCAACCCGAACCCGAGGCCGTCACAAGAGGCCGACGCATGACACGCTCCACCGCTACTAGGTCCCGTCAAAACTTATCACCAACGCAATCCACTCCAAGGCAACAAATCTCTTCACCTACCTCATCTTATATCTCCGCAACCTCCTCAGTCATCCATCCAAGTAGAATCACCGTATCAGAAATCAGGAACAAGCTCGCCATCCTCGGAATCAACGCTCCCAAAAATCTCAAAAAACCGGAACTCCTTAAACTTTACAAAAACGCAACATCGGACTCCCTTCCCTCTGCAAGTCCTCCTCCAAGATCAGCCGCTCAGGAAAATCCGATTCGATTCACTCCATACCCGCAAGCCTCCCGTTCACAACCAGGAAAGAAGAAGTCAAAACAAAAACACACAGCAAGCCACTCCCACGCAAGATCGCAACACCAGGAAACCCAGCCGCCTCCGATGACGTCACTCATTCTCCCACAGCAGGACTCCATTCAAGAGAACCCAGCCTCTCTCCCTCTCCCTCTAACTCTTTCTACCCCCTTCTCCTGGCCCCCCGCCCCCTCTAGCTCTCTCATTAGCCCTCATCTCCCTTCTACCTCCAATGCTCAGTTTCATCCTGCTATTTCTGCTCCCCCTGCTCTTCCTCCAAATCAATCCTCTTCTTTCCCCCCCCCCTCCTCTTCCGCTCCCCCCCCTCCCTCCCAAAACCTGCCTTTTGCATCTCAAAATCCTCCAATCAATATTCCATCTTTTTCTTCTTCACTTCCCCTCGCTCACTCTAACTCTAACCCTACCTGCTCCTTTTCTATTCCTAATCAAGTTTCTTCTACACGCCCCCCTTTCACTCTGTCATCTGCCACGCCCCTCCCACCGCCGAATAACGCTCTAGCTATGGAACCTCCACCCATCTCTAATTCAGCCCGCAACCTAATCCTCTCAGGTGCGGATATTGACCTCATTTCACTCCTCTCACCTATAGCACCCCCTGCGGCAGAACGCCAGGTTGATTGCGGCGAATTTTCAGTATCCCTCAAATCTTCAGTTAATAATCAGTCCCGCACCCTAACCTTAGCCGAATTTTGCATAGCCTTTTCAAGATTCACCGACACAATTTG